AGGACTTGAAGGAAGACTGGACCGGGGTGCCAACTTGTTCTCCTCGTACAAAGCAATGTAAGTAATTATCTTGTTGATTAACACTAACCGTAGTTGGTCTGATGCTCAGTTAGTTAGTTTATATCTTTATTAAAGGAAACCGTAATGAGAAGCGGAACAATGGCTTGGCTGAAAATGAAGTAAATAAAGAAGTACACGCAAATCCAGTTAACAACAAATAGAATTTCTTAACCCTCGAATCGATCCCATTAGGGGCTGAGGAATTTTATTTCTCAGCAATTCAACTTTGTTCAGTTCAAACCACTTTCTATTAAAAGAAGACATGTTCGCAGAGTTTGTTTTTTTCCTTTACATCGGTCAAAAGACATGTATATATGTAAACATGTCCTTCGAGCTTAAAAAACACATTTAAGTAATGTTACCGGTGTAATGGACGAGAGAAAAGGAAAAATCAGGAGGGCATCGGTAAAAACTAGATATTTTTTTAATTTCAAATTTATTCTTTTCAGATGCCGGATTGATTGTACACCCGAGGACAAGGTATAATTCTGAATATTCAATGAATTATAAGTGTAATTATTGCATTACTGTCATGTATCCCTCGCAATCGAATTATTCGTCCACTGGTCGGCGGCCTTAGGTAACACATTAAGTTCCTGCACCTTCAGCAGGGTCAGAGTAATTTGTAGGAAAAGGTAAAGAAGAGAGAAGAGATGCCAGTCTTCAGTTTTCATAACATTTTACCCTGGTGTGCAATCTTATTTAAACATCTGGTTAACTGCGTACAAAACTATAAGGGTTCACTACAAAATTAGCTTTCGATTCATTTATCGATTAACTTTTTTCGTTGTCTCTGGAGAGAATCTAATCAGCAGTTAATCCAAAATGCAACTTATGAATTCCTGAACATCTTTCCACGCATCAAACAAACCCACTGTAATGTGCATACTGGAACATGGCATACAATTTTTAGCCCTAATCATTAAAGTAATCCCTACCGCTCAAATATACTGTAGATTTGAGTTATTTTAAGTGTAGATGACTCGCGCTTCTTTACAACTGTTGCATATTCAGCTGGAGCGCATTTCAACGCTTAAAAACGAGCTTGAGCAAGGCGAAGTAACCCAGGTGATTACGCTGACTGAAGGCACCACTTCTATTCAGACCAGCCAGACGGGAGGAACTTCTAGTACTACAATTTCCGCCAAGGTTGGTTTAAATCTGAAAGAGAAATTCTCAGCTGAACTTGGTGTCTCCCATACGACCTCTTTTAATTGGGCTCAGAGTTCCAGCAGCTCTTTTTCTCGACAAATCTCACACGAAGCTCGAATACCGGTGCAACCGG